ACGACTAATAACGGCTTTCTCTGACTCTCCTGCAAAGAAGGAAAAAAAAGATGGAGGAATTATTTCACAGTAAGCGAAATATTTCCACAGGGAATATGGAGGATGGTGTTAAATGTTGTATTCACCTGACAAATGTCTTTTCTTGCTAAAACAGACTAATTGTTTTCTCGAAATTGAAGCTGAAAAAAAAATACGGGAAAAATTAATACATTTCATCCGCAGGTTTAAGTTAAAGTTTCTCGGGGAATTCCAAAGGGCTTCGACCGTGGTGATGGAAAGCGGCCGGATGGCATTACCATTTTAAAATGGGGAAGTCGTTGATTTGGGATGCGACCTGTGCGGATACATTTTCGGCCGGTAATTTGATCAGGTCCGCGGTTGAGCCGGGATCCGTCGCCCCGGGACGCAGAGATAAAAAAAAAAAATAGTTAAATATTCTTCTCTTGCTGATAGGTTTTTTTTTTTTACTCCTGTGGCGGTGGAGACTTCTGGTGTGATTGGCCCTCGTTCGATGGCGTTCCATCGGAGGATTGGCGGGATGGTGTCTCGATTAAGGGACAAGCCTCGCGAAACGGAGTGGCTCTTGCAGCGTGTCTCACTGGCGATGGTTCGAGGTAATGCTTTCTCCATCATTGCAGCTGGCAGAGGAAAGCAATATATATATATATATATATATATATATATATATATATTGTTAATAATAAAATAAATTGACTAGTAGTCATTCCTAAGGTGGTCGACGTGAATTGAACTTAATATTTTTTGTATTCAATCACTTGTTTCCAGTCAACTTTGATCTTCCAAAATTTCAATGCAATGTCAATCGTTATCTTCTGTCTTCTTAATTCTTCTTCTTTTATTGTCCTTTCCCCTCACTAAAATCTTCTAATTCTCTTTCACTCTTCTTACTTTCCAGTCAACTTTGATCTTCAAAAATTTCAATGCGATGTCAATCGTTATCTTCTGTCTTCTTAATTGCTCTTCTTTTATTGTCCTTTCCCCTCACTATAGTTTTCTAATTCTCTTTCACTCTTCTTACTTTCCAGTCAACTTTGATCTTCAAGAATTTCAATGCAATGTCAATCGTTATCTTCTGTCTTCTTAATTCCTCTTCTTTTATTGTCCTTTCTCCTCACTAAAGTCTTCTAATTCTCTTTCACTCTTCTTACTTTCCAGTCAACTTTGATCTTCAAAAATTTCAATGCAATGTCAATCGTTATCTTCTGTCTTCTTAATTCCTCTTCTTTTATTGTCCTTTCCCTCACTAAAGTCTTCTAATTCTCTTTCACTCTTCTTACTTTCCAGTCAACTTTGATCTTCAAGAATTTCAATGCAATGTCAATCGTTATCTTCTGTCTTCTTAATTCTTCTTCTTTTATTGTCCTTTCCCCTCACTAAAATCTTCTAATTCTCTTTCACTCTTTTTACTTTACAGTCAACTTTGATCTTCAAAAATTTCAATGCAATGTCAATCGTTATCTTCTGTCTTCTTAATTCCTCTTCTTTTATTGTCCTTTCCCCTCACTAAAGTCTTCTAATTCTCTTTCACTCTTTTTACTTTACAGTCAACTTTGATCTTCAAAAATTTCAATGCAATGTCAATCCTTATCTTCTGTCTTCTTAATTTTTTTTACTGTTTTCGTTCCTTAATAATGTTTTGTTTTCCATATAATCTTTCATACTCAGTAACCCTTTGCGTCCGGTGCTCCTGCAATACATTTCAAGATTTCTGATAAAATCAGAAGAAAAATCTGCAATATTATTGGTCCTGACCTGGCGTCTCAGAATCCGTCACTTTCCCACTGTCGTAAAGTTGCTTCCCTGTGCCTTTCCGATGAGATCTTCTTTATGGTACCTAGATTTTGGGAATTTAAACGCTGTACGAGATTCTCAACAAGGTCTCATCAATTTACCGTTGAATTGGCTAGATATAACCGTAAGTGCTATGCTAACAGTTTCTTTTCTCGCACTTCTCACTAGTGGAACTCTCTTCCGGTTTCCTTCTTTCCAGCCAAGTTTGATGTTCCATAATTTAAATGCAATATCAATCGTTATTTTCTGTCCTCTTAAATTATGTCCTTTTATCGTTCTTTCTGCTTAATAATGTTTTTTCTTATATGCGTTCACTGGCAGTAACTCCCTGCGTCTTAGTGGCTTTGTTGCCTTGGTTGGAGTGAAATAATTATTTTTAAAAATGAGTAGACAGTACACTCCAGATTTAAGTGGGAGCCAATGTAGGAGGACATTCTGAATTAAGAAAGTGTAGAGAAGACAACAGAAAAAAAAATCCATCTTCCCCAAGAAGTTCACAGAAAATAAAGAAAAGGAAACACTGGAGAACCATAATAAACGGACATGGTATTAAAAAAAAATGACGGGTTGTCACCGATTAAACAAATAAAACAAAGCGAAATAGCAAGAAAGACGATAAAACAAAGCAAGGATACCCGACGTTGCGCAGACCAAATCATCTTTCTTTGTTTCGCTGCGCTATTCAGTCGTTCCTGTCTGAGACGTTTCCGTCGTCCGTAAAATGGTTTTAACGAAATTCTCGTAATTAAGACAGTTCCAAAGAAATATTGTTTATTGATTTGTTTTCTACGGCTTATCAACATTTTGTAGGTAGGTCCCGATTAAGACCCATAGGGGCTGTAAACACTTAAAAGATTTTGGGGCCCCCATACACCTGCGAGTTAAGTATGCTAGCATGCAGTCTCGATAAGTAGTGCATATAAATAGCGACCTCCACATTTTCGCGGGAAAACAGCATAGCGTAATGAAAAATGCCACATACTTAACGAAAATAAAGTTTTATCGTCATAATTCATATGTTATTATTAAGATGAAAGACCAAAGTATTTTTTAATTATTTTTTGAAATTTTTTAATATTTTCTAACACGTTCGAAATTTTGGTTAAAGTCTTCTTTTGTTTACGTCATCGCGGGGACGTTAAAATAACATTGTGTTTTTTTTTTTTTTGCTTTTTTCCGTTGAAAACACATTGATTTGGAAATTCTTGTAAAATTCAAGTAATTGCCCGATTTTAATGAAATTTTCAGAACTTATTCACAAAAATAAAGGCTATCAAACGAGAACGTGTATCGTGGAAAAGCTAGCTGGAAATAAATATATAATGAACCAAACTCACATACGACCATCGAGAAAGGGTGACCATCAGTTCCAAACCAGAACAACACCAACCAAGAAAGAAACAATCACAGCTGTGCAGCCACTATCAAATGAGCTACGGCCAGATTCTAACAGAACTGTTACCAGAAGTGGTCGTGTCATCAACAAACCAGCGTTTTACAGAATTGCATAAAAATATGGCTATAATGCCAAAAGAACATAAAGTAAGTCTACCTCTGTTCACAAAATTAAATCCCATTAAGTTAATAAGTAATATTGACTTATTCAAGAGAGATGTGTTGTATTGAGTAAATACAATCCTCATTATCTCTCTTAGCTCATTCCATTATTAACCAATCAGAATGTCAATAAAGATTCGCTGCAGATCAGTTATCCCTACTTCATAATGGCGCCTTGTTGATTCAAATATTAATCGTGCTCGACTTATTTCTTTAGATGTGTACAACATCATATCAGTATCTGTCTATATTTCTGAGATGAGGTATTATGTACACTATTTACATTATTCGGACTATTGTCCTCATCTTTGTTGCCATATTTATCACCCTTCAGTATCTGTCTATATTTCTGAGATGAGGTATTATGTACACTAATTACATTATTCGGACTATTGTCCTCATCTTTTTTGCCATATTTATCACAACGTTTCGGCCGTTGTACACACCGGCCTTCTTCAGGGGGTTGAAATGAACCCTTTATTTCGCTCACTGGATTAGACTGTTCTGGTTCCACGTGCCATGTCTAATGGATGTCAGTTCTCAGTTATCTCCTGTTAATTCCCCTCTACAAGTTCTCCACCGCCTTAATCAGGTATTGAACTCGCATGTTTTGGGTCCTGTCACTGGATCTAACCAACGCCTTTATCCACTGCGCTATGTGTCCTTGAGAAATAATATAAATAGTGTACAACATCATATCATTTCAATTTCAGCGAGGCTCTCTTCCCTTGAGGCCATAAGCAAGTGATTATTTTGCTTAATGCTTAATCCAGCCCTGTTTCTAGGTTATTTAAAGCCAGAAAATATTTTTAGATTTAAGAATGTTTTTTGTTTGTTTTCGGAGATAATAATGGTTTTGATACAAGTCATACTAATTAACCCATAGCTGGGAGAGAAGAGGGGGATGCATACATAATCATAATTTGATAAACAAACAAGAAATAATTATGTGGATATAAAGAGGGGGATTAATTCTATATCAGTCACCATATAAACTGACCCCCCATTTTACGTAGTTTCTATATATTTATATTCCAGAGAATGTAAATGAATGTAAAAGACATGCCAACAAGAAATTATAATGTGGATACAAAGAGGGGGATCAACCATATATTGCAATCAATATATAAACTGATCCCTCACTTTGTGGCTACTGTAGTTTCTATACGTTTATATTCCAGAGAATGTAAATAAATCTAAAAGACATGCCTACAAAAAAATTATAATGTGTATATAAAATGGGGGGTCAGTTCTATATTACAATCAATATATAGACTGATCCCTCACTTTTTGGTCACTAGTTTCTATACATTTATATTCCAGAGGATGTAAATAAATATAAGAGACATGCCTGTTTAGCTAATCAGTATTTCATTGATTCTTTTTCTACGGCTCGTCAACCCTTTGCAAGTTAGTCAAAGCTAGAAAATATTTTTGGGTTGAATGATGATTTAGAGATACAAGTCTTACTAATTAACCCATAGCTTGGAGGAGGAGAAGTGAATTAATATCTTTACTGTTGGTATTTGCGCGTAAGTGAATATAACGAACCCAACTGGAATTGAAACTCGGCCCTACGATTAACAATTCCAAGCCATTATCCATTACAACACACGCACAAATTAGTTTATAGCTACTGGTATTCCCAAGCCCTCACACATCTAGCTACTGACCAAGCTCGATGTTGCTTAACTTCGGAGATCGTGGGGGAAACGGTGTTTCAACGTGATGTAGCTGTAAGCCCTTTACACCATCCGCATATCCCAACTTACGGCACATGGTATTCTAAAGCGATCACCCATCTAAGTACTGACCAGGCGCGAGGTTGCTTAACTTCATAGATCGTGAAGGAATTGGTGTTCCAATGTGATGCGACCGTAAACCTTTACACCAATTGTTCATCAAAGCTTACAGTACCTGGTATCCCCAAGCGGTCACCAACCTAGGTACTGACCAGGCTCGAGGTTGCTTAACGTGTGCTTCATCAAACGTGTTTTATTTTGAACGGTATAAAGTTCAGTACAATGTTAAAATTCTACCTTTTGCGTGTTTTTCTTCCAATCTACCACAGATTCGGTACTCATCACCTTGGCATAACAATTTTTATAGTTTTAGCATGCACTGAAGCACGAGTTCCTTGAACACTTCGTTACCAACTCTGCAAATGTGACACGGACTGTCACCTTCGTAACGGGATACGAGTTGATCACGCTCAAAGTAGTATCAGGCGTTATGTCATTCTGGGCTACACTTGTCACTCTGAAATAAAAACAGAAACATATTTTGTTTCATGTAAATATGGTGGGATTAAGAAAAGTTATAAGTAATTTTCAGTAAGGCGTTTTTATTCCATACACCCTGTACGGCATGTTAGATTATTAAAATCTCTATTTATTACATAAATTGATAGTTTTCGCTCTGTGACGAATTTATCATGATTAGTCGGGTTTTTATTAAAATCTCTATTTGTTACATTTTCAAAACATCTGTTATTCTATTTACCTGGTGCCTCGTGGAGCATAAAGCCCTCAACACAACGTTATCATTCTGTCCTGTCCGCAGCTGCCGCTCATGCGTCATCACAGGATCACCAGACTATTGCTTTCTTCTCTTTCTCCATAGTCCTTCGCCATGTCGTTCTTGTTTTTTTCCCTTCTCATTTTGCTTTCAGATGCCAAAGTCAGTGCCACGTTGCGTTATTTGTTTAGGCCTTGCCTTAAAACAAGGGTTGGCAACCCCCGGTCCACATCGAGATATTTGTCCGGCCCGCCAACTTAATACTGAGACATTAATTATCGGAATAATTTGTGGTGCAAGTGACAGAGAAATATCAGAGTTAATCGACTTACGATTCGACAAATTTTGGAAATCAAAATTTCATTCCGAATTCACTGCCGACTTCTACAAGAAATGTGTTTTGCCAAATGGAAAACCTAAAATCCTATTGAATGATGCGAAAAGGATGGTATCATTATTTGGAAGTGCATATGCTTGTGAACAAGTTTTTTTCGAAAATGATATATACTAGAAGTGTTTAAGAACAAGGTTGGGGGATGACCACCTGGATGATGTTTCGCTCCTGTCATTGACAAATATTTCATCTGATGTGAAGAAGTTATCAAACAATAAGCAGAAACAAGTGAATCATTAAATAATTTGCCATTTCTAACTGTATTTTGTTTCTAGTAAGGAATTTGCATTTTTTGTTGATTGCGTAAATCACTATGTGAATCTGCCACTAGAGGTTTTCGGTTCGATTTCATAAAGTGATTTAGATCAGGTGTCGGCACCCCCCCCCCGATCCCCGGGCTGTATCCGGACCTTGAAGGATTTTTGTCCAGCCCGCCAACTTAACAACTGGACACTAATTATCTAATTAAATTGTTGAGTAAGCGGCAGAAAATTGTCAGTTGATGTTAAGTAACTTACAATACGACGGATTTTTTAAATCGAAATTTCATTCCGAATTCACTGCTGACCTCTACGAGAAATATGTTTTGCCAAACGGAAAATATAAAAGCCTATTGAATAATACGAAAATGATGGTATCTTTATTTGGAAATACATATGCTTGGGAACAACATTTTTACGAGAATGAAATATATTAAAAGTCGTTTAAGAACAAAATTGGGTGATGACCACCTGAACGATGTTTTGATCTTGTCATCAACAAATATTTCATCTGAGGTGGATAAGTTATCAAACAATAAACGGAAACAAGTGCCTCATTAAATAATTTGCCATTTCTAACTGTATTTTGTTTGCAGTAAGGAATTTGCCATTTTTGTTGATTCTGTTATTTGTTATCCTGTTATTCTTGCAGTAAAATAAGGAACCTTGTTTAAATAATATAAGATTAACTTCGTTGTTTTTTCTTTAAACAATCCAGACCAGGTCAGCCTTCTGGACGGAGCGGTCTGAGGTCGAGATAATCTTCTATTGGTAAGAAGAATGTTCCTTTGAGACAACTTCCTCCCACGAGCCAATGTATTGTGGAACAGGCGCTCGAGTGTCAACCGTTATCAAATAAAGTTTCAGAAAAGTACATTTTATTTAAGGTTAAGTGTTTATTAGAAGTGAGAGACGAGGAAAATGGTTTTCCCTATGCTCTAAATAAGGGGTCGGAAACATCCGGCCACCGGGTCACATCCGGGCACCGAGCCACACCCGGCCACCGGGGCCACATCTGGCCACCGGGCCACATCCGGGCACCGGGCCACATCCGGCCATTAGGCCACATCCGGCTCACAAATGAATTTTGGCCTGCCCGCTAAATTAACCGTAGTAAGGAATTTGCATTTTTTGTTGATTCTGTTAGTTGTTAGTAAAATAAGGAAACTTGTTTAAATAATATAACACTTAACTACGTTGTTTTTTTACTTCTTTAAACTTCCAGACTACGACAGCCTTCTGGATGAAGAGGTCTGAGGATAACACAATTTATTATAAACCGTTTGATATCATGACCCTCCTCCGAGAGTCTGCATAACTTTATGGCCTGCTCTCTCCAAAAGGTTGTCAACCCCCTCCTTTAAAGTATGGTCAATGACTCTCCATCTTCGCCTTACATGAGAAATCAGGGGTTCTACGGAGTTTTCACATGGTCTTGCCATCTAATCTTGATCATCCTTTTTAAAATGTTCTTATTAAATAAGTCGATAAGCTTTTAATCGTCCTAATTCGTTGTCCTAGTCTTGTAACTATATAACAAAACAGAAAGGACAAAAGTTTTGTCATGCCTTATTTTTAAAACATAGCATTAAGAAAATGCCAATCATGATATAAATAATAAAGCTATGGAAACGGTAAAACCACTCTACTATCTTTTCCAAGAACCCATGGCAGTTCACAGATAATAAAGAAAAGGAATCTTAAAAAGAGGAAAGAAAAATTAATTAGTTATTTCCATTAAGCTAAAACCAGAAAGTTGGCCGATATATGACACATGCTGGTTAATATAAATAATAGAGCCATGGAGAAGGTAAAACCACTGCTCTCTTTTTCCCAAGAGCTCATGGCACTTGACAGATAATAAAGAATAGAAATCTGTCGTAAATAAATCAGTTCAAACTACACTTATTAAAAGAGAAAGTAAATTGCATGGAGTATTGCTGCCATATATGGTCTGGAGCCCCTTCTGTTTGTCTCAAGGTTCTTGATAAGATCCAGAGCCGGATATGCAATGTAATTGGCCCTGATCTAGCATCTCGTCTGCAGTTGCTCTCTCACAGACGTGCCGTCACCTCCCTCTGTCTTTTTTACAAATACTTTCACGGTAAATGCTCCAATGAGCTGCTTTTGCTGGTTCCCAGACTTCAAGAATTTAAGCGTTCTACTAGGCTGGCATCTCGCTCTCACCCTTTCACTGTCGAAACTGTTAAATGTAGCCGTCTCTTCTACTCCAATAGTTTCATGTCTCGCACTTCTCGCCTGTGGAACTCCCTCCCATTTTTTGTTTTCCTGATAGCTATAATCTCTAACTATTCAAATGTAATGTCAATCGACGTCTCCAGATTCCCTGATCTATTCCCTAACCTTCTCTTCATCCTTTCCTCTATCACTCCTCTTTGCTCTCGCTCCAACTCTCTGTAACCCCTTGCGTGCTAGTGGCTTCTCGCCTTGCTTGGGGTGAAACGCTTAAAAAAAAATAACTTGATTAAAAGGAAAATTCCCGAGAGTGCCTCTATCGAATCATATCAAAATATAAATCTACGACCTGGATTCTTTTCAATATCTCCACTCTTGAAAAGATTACTACTTACCCAAGCCAACTATAAAAATGATAAGAAATTAAAAATTCATAACCTGATGTTATTATCTCTATCTATAAAAGGCAGGATGTGTGTGTGTGTGTGTGTGTGTGTGTGTGTGTGTGTACCGAATGCACGGCCGCAATTTTCGACGGATTTGCACCAAAATTTACATGCACATGCTCCAAATTAGCGGGAAGGCCAAGACCGACTTTGCATTTCCCAACTTCCATCGATAGTGGAAATAATCGATTTTTTCATGCTTCTACGGCAGTTTTCATGTAGTTTGCGGCCATTTTCTATTGGCCAGAGTGAGAGCCAATAACTGGCTGCCACGAATAGGCAGGAAGATTCTATTGGCCAGCGTGAGAGCCAACAGCTGACTGACACGAATGTTAACTGGCATGCTAGCATGCAAAAAAAATCGAAAGCTGCATTCGTCACAAATGGGAAAAATTTAAATCTGCATGGCACTTTACTCCAATTGGCTCATTCGCTTGCTTAAACTCAACGTTGATTCTGATTCCGCAGAACTGGGTTGGGTGTGAAAAAGTATTTGTTGTTAACATTCTTTTTTCATTCGGTTTTTTCCAGTTACGAGTCCTTTTTTTAAAGCTGATCATTTTGTGTTCATTTTGTTTAGTTGTTTTTTCGTAACAGATTTAATGTTTAGTATAGAGCTTAGAAAAAATTCGCAGTGTGAGATAGGCAAGAAGTAAGGCATGTAGCAACATCAGCACGGCAAAGGGCACTCCTTTAAAGGCAAGGAAGGGCAAAAATATTTTAAGTCAAGTGATAGTGATTGCTGTATGAATCGTACGATTTTTGAATCAAGCACGGCCAACGCCGGGCCATGCTGCTAGTAAATATATGCAACACATAAATTAATCCTAAACTAAAATAGTTTAAATACTAATTTGCATTATAAAAAATTCTCTCAAAGGATGAAACGCTTCGGTCAGGATAAATTTTCCTTTTGTTTTTATTCATTTTGATAATTGTTTATTTAATATGCAATATGCTTTACTCATATTTCTTAGATTTCCAAAAGATAATATTTTTAAAAAATCAACATTATTTACTTCCGTTCACTCCAAAGCTGTGATCTAAATGCTCAGGTAGTTTAGGACAGGAAATGGTTTTACTTGAATAACTAAGACATTTAAATATAAAAGATCGGGAAATGTATGAGAAAAAACAAATTAAAAAAAGAAAATATAATAAGTTATTTCCATTAAGCAAGAATCGGTAAGTTGGCCGAGATATAAGACACATGCTGGTTGAATTGAAAAATTGAAAATGAATTGTTTATGCGCATTTACTAAGATATTTGATCTGGCTATAGCATTCCCTTCCAGACTATATTTTTCTCATTGCATTAAGGGCGTCAAGTTTGGGGTGGGGTGCAATCCCTGATACCTACAGGATCTGGGTATTATATGGGTGCGATCCCGAATTTAAATTCGGGCATGTGTCATCCTCCGGTTGAGTGACCGGACGGTGAAATGTTGTAAAAACACATTTATTTTGATGGAACAATTTGTCTTAATATTTGCAGACATACAGACGACGCCGACATATATATTGATACCGACAGGTCTAACAATTACGGCTAAGACCCACGATGCCTCTCACATTGTAGCAGATTATCCTCATCCCCCCCCACCGTATTACATCAGCAAGAAGTAAGTTCCTCTCTAATAGCTTCTCGCGTATCACTGCCCTGGAGGATGTTTCCCCAATCACTACAATCTGTTCAGGTCTTGAGTGGACCATTATCTTCCCTTCCTATCTATATAAACTACCTCTTAAAGTAACCCTCTACCTAGAGTGGCTCCCGGTCCTTGTACAAGGTGAACCTTACTGTAAAAAAAAAAAAGATTAATCCGACTCAGAAACCATTTTTAGTCATTTGGCGTTTGAGCGTCTTGATGTTTATTTCCTTTTTCGCTCCCCAACTTTTATAAGGTCATACATAACTCTTCGAATTTCTAGTGTGAACTGTCATATAGCCTGACGTGCTTTTACCGATTGAGCCACAGAGGAGAGTTTCGGTTAGCGAGGTCGGTTTTACTGTTTTTAAACTGCAATTCTTCGTGATTTTCTCTCATACATTCATATATGCTCGATGCGTATCCAAATGTAAACAAATGACGTCACACATTATGAAGATAAAAAAATGTCTTAAAATAATTGTCGCACTTTTTCCATTTCATAATGTGTGACATGTATCTATCTATCTAACTATCTATCTATCCAATTCTCTTCATTATCTCTCTCTCTCTCTCTCTCTCTCTCTATCTATCTATCTATCTATCTATCTATCTATCCCATTATATTCATTATCTATCTATCTCATTCTGATTATATATATATATATATATATATATATATATATATATATATATATATATATATATAAGCAAATGTAAATGGATATAGATCCGACAGAATGAAGAAAAATTTGGAAAAAAACAAACAAAAATCCTTAAATGCAATTATGTTGTTTAAAATGAATGAAATGTCGACGTCTGACGTTTCGGTTTAATAAACCTTTTATTTTCTTTTTCATTCAAAATAATCAAAAATTTTTAGGAATACGTTTTGAAAGCGTCGCCCATGTGACGACAACGTGACTATGCTAAACGGAAAGCTGATCATTTTAAAAATTTTCAGTTATCTGTTTTGAATAAGACTTGTTGTTTATGTCCATCGTCTTTGTCAAATTGAACTGAATTGTATTTTAATGAATATTGTCTTGAAAAAGGTTTATTAAACCGAAACGTCAGACGTCGACATTTCATCCATTTTAAACAACATAATTGCATTTAAGTATTTTTGTTTGTTTTTTCCAAATTTTTCTTCATATATATATATGTCGGTTCTTTCGATTCAATTCGTTAGGTATATTTTAATAGGACATCAGGGAGAAGAACACTTAACCTGGTTAACTTTGACACAAAGAAACCAATTTGTTCTTATGTACTTGTTTCACAGGAAAAATGTTTTAAAACATGCTACGCCATTTTCTTTATGTTCTAAGCTTTTATTTTTCACCGTCTTTCTTTTTAGCCGAATTTCTCATTTCTTTCTTATTTCTTTTTTATATTTCTTTCTCTGACTTTTTCTTGTTTCACGATTTTTATTTATTCTTTTTTTTTTTTTTCTATTTCCTTTTGTTGTATTTCCCGCCAATTTCTCTTTCATTCAAAACCTTTCTTTTCCCAAACAGCCTTACTTTTTTCTCTCAATCAATTCATTATCTTTCTTTTCAGGATTTTTTTTTCACTGCCTTTCAACTGAAATAAAAAAAAAAAAAAAAAAAAAAGGAAATTGCTACATGTTTGTTATTTCGCATGTGTAGCATGTTGAACGCTTTTAGTGGCCCTTAAAGTGAGAACAGATTAGCCAACACTTTAGAGATATTTATCTACATTTCATTGTATTTTGATCTATTTGTAATTTTAATTTGTTACATTTAAAACTAGATTGGATAGATATGGACATAGATAGATAGATAGATAGATAGATAGATAGATAGATATGGATGGACTGTGTTATATAGACTGTAACAGAGAGAGAGAGAGAGAGAGAGGAAGAGAGAGAGATAATGAAGAGAATTGATAGATAGATAGATAGATAGATAGATAGATAGATAGATAGATAGATAGATATGGATGGGTTGTAGTATATAGATAGATAGATAGATAGATAGATAAAAAGATAGATATGACTGGACTGAGATAGATAGACAGATATGAACAGATCGAGAAAGATAAACAGATATGAACAGACCGAGATATATAGATAGATAATGAACCGAAATATAGAGAGAGAGAATGAACAGAGATAGATATCAATAGAGCGGCGATATATATATATATATATATATATATATATATATATATATATATATAGAAGGACAACTCTGAATTCAAAACCTGAGGGGGGTTGTTTGGGGATCTTGTGGCACGTAGTGCACCAGGTCTCTGTATTCGGCCCCTTCAAAAGGGTGGATGGTCCTGCACGAAACCTTCATCACTATAATCAAATCTCATGTGCCGGTGTCGGGCTGTCAGTTTCCTGGAAACTGATCTGTTTGACCCTCATACGTCGAACCCGACGGCAGAATCGAATTTTTTTTTTTTTTGTATGTATGTATGTATGTGTGTATATATATATATATATATATATATATATATATATATATATATATATATATATATAAGATAACAATATATATCTTTATATATCAGGAACAATATTCGGAAAATGTATGAAAAAAGTGGAAAAAAAAAAGTTTTCTTGTGACGCGTTTCGTTCTTTAGGACTTCATCAGACTAAATTCTTACGTTGGTAAAACTACACATGCGCACGAACGAGGGATGCTGGGAATTTTAAATTTAATTTTTTTTTTTAAATCTAGCCGTTTTCATTTAGATTCTTTTTGTCTTTTCTTTTCATCAGTCAGTAGATATCCCACAGTGTGATAATAGAAGTTCTACCTTTTCATTTCTGAAATATTTGGAGGTTACGAGGGTCGTTGAAAAGGTTCTAAGCCCCACCCAGAAGGAGTTGGAGTAACAATGCAGTTTTTCATTATTTTTAATATAGCAGCCACCCACCCCTTTTGACATCAATGCCCTTGGTCGAAAGACGCATAAGCATTGCAGTCCCATCACGGAAGAAGGTGACGTCTTGGTTCACCGAAAACTCCCCCAGCAGCACATATGATTTCACCATTGTTTTCAAAATGGCGCCAACTCAGGTGGATTTGAGTTTAGGTAACAGGAACAAGTCATATGAAGCTATGTCTGGTTGGTATGGAGGATAGATTAGTAATTCAAAGTCATAGCTGGCTGCTTCAGCTACTGCAACCTGAGCAATGAACGTATTATCCTGGGTGAAGATTCATAGGGATTCTAAGCACTCAAATGATTCATAGGGACTCTAAGTCCTTTAAAGATTCATAAGGATACTAATCCCTTAAAAGATACATAGGAACATTAATCCCTTAAAAGATTCATACGAACACTAAGCCATTAAATGATTCATAGGGCCACTAAGCCCTTAAATGATTCATAGGAACATTAAGACCTTAAAAGATTCATAGGGACACTAAGCACTTAAAAGATTCATAGGGACACTAACCCCATAAATGATTCATAGCTACACTAAGCCCTTAAAAGATTCATAGGGATTCTAAGCCCTTAAATGATTCATAGGGACTTTAAGCCCTTAAAAAATTCATAAGGATACTAATCCCTTGAAAGATTCATAGGAACATTAAGCCCTTAAAAGATTCATGCGAACGCTAAGCCATTAAATGATTCATAGGGACACTAAGCCCTTAAATGATTCATAGGGACTCTAAGCCCTTTAAAGATTCATAGGGACACTTAGCTCTTTAAAGATTCATAGGAACACTAAGCCCTTAAACGCTTCATAGGGACACTAAGCCCTTAAATGATTCATAGCTACACTAAGCCCTTAAGAGATTAATAGGGACTCTAAGCCCTTAAAAGATTCATAGAGACACTAAGCTCTTAAAAGATTCATAGGGACACTAAACCCTTAAAATATTCTTGTGTCCTCATTGCCCTCAATATGTTTTCCAAAATGATGACCACCCAGGTGAGATATGAGTTTAGGAAACAGGAAGAAGTCCAGATGGAGCTAAGTCTGGTGACTAAGGAGGGTAAGGTAGCAATTTAAAGCCACAGTTGATTGCTTGCAGCTACTGCAACCTGGGCAGTCTGAACAGGGTCGTTATCCTGGAGCAAGAGCACACCTGCCATCAGCTTCCTTCTGCCTTTCGACTTTTCCTCTTAATTCTGATGCAGAGGACTGTTCATTAATAGTGTTTCTTTTTTCCAGGTATCCTGTCATGATTAAGCCTTCAAAATTCCCAAAACACAGAAGCCATCGCCTTTGCTTGAACTTTTTGCTTTGAAGCTTTCATTCAGGTTCGAAGTGGCTAATCCAGGTTTCATCTTGAGTTACTAATCTGCTGTTGAAATTCTCAGGACCAGCCTGGAAGCGAATCAGATGTGTTCTGAAAATGTCAACCGTTTTCAACATCTGCATCAGAATTCTTGGAACCCATCTTGCAGACAGCTTGCTCATCGCCAAGATCTCAGTATGGAACGAACCAGAACCAATGTCTATCTGCTGACATCCAAAACCATACGGTGAAGGATATCAATTTATTCATCAGTAGATGAGGTTTTCGGACAACCTGACCGAAGGTCATCTTCTGTGTTGGCCCTGCCCAGATTAAATTCCGTAGCCCACTTCTTCACATTTACATAGAAAGGGTACTCCTCAGCAAGTGCTTATACCCTATTCTCATGGATTTCCTTGGGTGACATGCATTTCTTTTGCGGATACATTATGACTGGTCGGACCTCTTCTTTGTCCATTTTTAAATTTGTCCCACACCTCTCACCATTCTATGGGCCTCACCTATACAGACATTAAGACAGAAATCTGAATTAGTTTTTCTATTTTTGTATGATGTGGTAGTGTGTTCCACAATAAAAATGTTCGTCTGTGGCTCTTCTTTCTTGGTGAGGCTTAGAACTTCTTGAACGACCTTCGTATAAACAACATTCTTTTTTAAATAATAAAATATAAAATAATAAAATATATAAGTTTGAAGATAATAACCAAATAAAAAGTTGGTAAATGAAATGATAATAAAATACAAAATCATACGGTTTAAAAGATATTACGATAAAATAATTTTATTTCAAAACAATAAAATCTCTATCTATAAAAGGCAGGATATTCATCAGTAGATGAGGTTTTTAGTGGAAAACCTGACTGACCTGCCATCTTCTGGTTCTAGCTATTTTCTATTAGTGAGAGCCAGATTAAATTTAGAGCCAACCTGACTAGACACGAATGTTCAACATGCTTTAAAAAAAAACATAGAAAAATGGATAAATTGCATGGCATTGGCTCATTTTCCTTTCTCAAAAAAGTATTTGAACATTTTTTTGTTTGTTTTGTGTTCATTTTTTTAGTTCTTTTTCGTAACAGATTTAATGTTTAGTAGAGCTTATTATGAATAGGCAAGAAAAGGCATGGTCAGACCTCTTCTTGTCCATTTTTAAATTTGAATCCCACCTGCTGCTAGTATACAATAAGAATTTTCCATTCTATGGGCCTCATCTAAAAGACATTGTGACATAAATTTCTTTTTCAAATACATTATGATTGGGTGTCTGTTTGTCCATTTTTATATTTGTCCCGAATATGAAGAAATTAAGACAGATATCTGAATTAGTTTTTCTAGTTTTGTATGATGTGGTAGTGTGTTCCACAATAAAAATGTTCAGCTATGGCTCTTCTTTCTTGGTGAGGCTTAGAACTTTTTGAACGACATTCGTATGTTCATAAAAAGGATAAATTATTCCATGTATTTTCTTTCTTAATGACTTTTTTGTTTATCTTTGAGTTTATTAAAAGAAAAATGCAAGCAAATTGAACCTGCCACCTTTTGGTTACTATTTTCCCTCACATACCATTGTGACAGGATGCTTATTGCATATGAAATAAAAGTGTTTATACCTGTCAATTTGATATGCCTTTGCTGCAAAGTGGAGTTCACGAAATTGGCGGGATTAAATTACGACAATTTCGTAAGTACCATTTTACGGCAGACGCAGATCATTCAAACAAATAAATGACTGTGTAAATATTTATTCATACGCTCACAATTTATAAAGTATGACACAAGATCAAGTTTAGTGCTAGATTTCGGAAGCCGTTCAAAGATTGTTCAGTCTCCTCGCCTCTTTCCCCTTTTGGGAATACTTCAGGCGTCGAGTGATGACCCCAGTTACATCCCGAAGGAGAGGTACTGCCTAGGGAGGATGCTCACTGGTGGACCTAGTCCTGGGTATGACGATAAACTACATCCGGCAACAAGGACTCTGATTGGGAAAATGGCGGTTTTGAGGAGCCTAGAACCATCTTTTAATTTTCTTTGTTCCTATGTCCACTCTGAGTGGTAGCATCTATTAGGGTCCCAGCTATTGGCAAATAGTGAGCCTGCTAAAAAACACTATGAAAGTATAACAATACACGCATTATTTACATTATTCGGACTGTAATCCTCATTCACAACGTTTAGGCCGTTATACGCTCTGGTCTTCTTCAGGTGACTGGAATTTCGAACCGAACCCTTTATGTCACCCACCGGGGTAGATTGTTCTAGTTCTACGTGCCATGCCTCTTCCGGATGCCTCAGTTATTTCCCTTTAACTCAACTATCTAAGTTTTGGTTCACCACTACTGTGGCCTGGTATTGAACTCACAAATCTTTGGGTTTAGTCACGGAACACAACAAACGTCTTTATCCACTAGAACATATGTCATGTGTCCATGTGGCAATGGGTCAAGTATGTTATGCGTTGTTTCCTCCTTCTCCCTCTTGCCCTCAATTTGTCTTGTGCGTATCAAAATTTCCAAGCCCTCTTTCCTCATTATGTGCCCCAGAGATCTCAACTGTCTCTTCCTGATGTTAAGTATAGGTTTCCGTTTTGTTTCCATTTTCTCTAAAAAATTGTCGTTGCTTAGATGTTTGGTCCGTGGAATATGGGCATCTCTGTAGAAGCAAATTTCTCATGCTTCATCCATATTCTTCATCTTTGAGGAGATGGTCCAGCAATCATTGCCATAAAAAGGACTGATGTTACATAACAGTTCAGTACTCTTTTCTTTGTTTCTCT